CACTAACAATTTTCATTCAATTCGCTCAGGTCAACGTTTCTCATGCTTTTACGCTCCTTACACCTCTGTGTCCGTTTCGCAGACCACCATCCTGCTTCCAACAATCTGTGTGAACACACCCTCTAATCATTTGCCTACTCTCGACAACAAATTAGAAGAAAATAAGAAAATTGATGAATTGATCGAGAAGTTTGCTGCCAAGAATTCATCGATGGTGGTGTGAAAGAAATTGCCTCATTGTGATGATACATGCGTTTTGCAAACATCGTTCAACAACAAACATTGTTCAAAAATGCTGATAAAAGTTAATTAAACTAGATTTATTGCCAGACGAAGTCCTCTCCCTTTTGAAGAAGCACTTCTTCAAAAATTTCGTTCAATTGATTCAAAATTAACATGACATCATTTGAATCAATGGAATGATCGCTCTCTGCATGTTCATTTTCATTCCAATTGCATTCAAAATATCTGCGCTGTTTACTCATGGAATGCGACTTGTCTACATAATTCAATATGATCCGCATTCCTCTCAACCTTTAATGAGTCTCTAAATATGATCGCTCGAGATTCTTCGGGCAGTGCGTACATTCGCATCTTAACTGCAAAATGTCCAGAACTTCATCTGGAACTTCACTGTGACAAATATTCCAGTTTCTTTGGTTGTTGTCCTAGAATTTCTCATATCTAATGAGATTGCCGAAACTGAACTTTTTTCTTACAAGATTTGTTTCCATCCGTATGTTATTTNCTAGAATTTCTCATATCTAATGAGATTGCCGAAACTGAACTTTTTTCTTACAAGATTTGTTTCCATCCGTATGTTATTTGCATGGTTAGGAAGAAGTGATATTGAAATTCGCCTAGAATCAATACTTATTTATGGGTCCGTAAACGTATGATGGGGGGATTTTTTGTACAAATTGGAGGTTGATTGAAGAATTTGATTGAATTTCAGCATTCATTATTTGTATGAGCTCATCGACCAAAGAATCATGCGATGAACTGGCCCCTCCAATGGATCCAAATGTGGCGTCTACCTCCGCATCAACCCCAACTACCACCACTCCTACTCAATCAACTCTACCACCAATTCCAAAAAAGGTTTTCGTTGTCATCTGAATTCTGGACCTTTTATTCAGTTGTAATGATCAATTCACTTCTCGTTCCTCATTCTCTTATCGCCCTTCATCATTGCTTTAAACTTTCATCCGTTCGAGGCATTTTCGAGCATTGCGATAATTTCTCAGAGAAATCCGCCTTTCAATAGTTTCTGATGATATTTCTCCGTTGAGGGTATCTTGAAACGAGTATCGTCGCAAAGTGCATTTGCTCGAGATGCGCTTGAGGAGGGTGATCAGGTGTTTCCTCTTCGAGAGTACAGGAGCTCTCCGGATCGATTCCCAGATCGACCCGCCACTCGGATACCGAAGTTATCGTTAACTTGGTCGGAAAAAAATGCCGGTCAGTACAAAACACGTTTCCTTCTATAACTGATATCGTTTCTGGAATTAATTTTCAGCCGTTTCATTATTGTCTTCTCTCTGTAACGCATCTATAGAATCACCATCATAGATACTATCAGAACTTGTAAGTCGTTTCGTTGTGAACGTTTCAAATTTCCATTGCTGTTGGGAGGATGAAAATTCATTAGAAAATAATATTATACACCTTCTGAAGTGTTCGCATCATAATTGCAATATGAATGTTATGATAGCGATACGGTGGATATTTCAGTGGCGTTTTTCGGTGAGACAACATCTGACGAGAATACTACCGAAAACGACGAAGCATCAGTACCAACACTCGTTCCATTTCCCTCACAAATTCCTTCGGCCAACCAAAATTTAATTCGTAAGTCTTACCCATTGCATCCTTTCGGTTATTATCGTCGTATTTTCAATTACTTGCTAGCATCTGTATCTCCATGATTATTGATGTTGTTTGTTCAATCAATTTTATTTCCCTCTTTCCCAGCATGATTCCACCCTGAATTTATTTGAGCAGAATTAATGGAATTACACTGATACTTGTGAACGGTTGATTGAGTAAACTGTTGATAAAATGTTGCATTGCATAGGACCGATCAGGCAAACAGCAATTCTGGATGATGATGAAAGCGAGGAACGAGAAATGACTGATGATTTGATGGGTGACGATGAGTACGAGAATCGATCCGAGACCGACGACGATCAGTCGTTGAGTGGTAATGGGGGCACATCGCATATTGCTGGCAAATGGTGGTTCGGTAAGAGCACAAAGTTGGTTTTTTTGTTTGTCGCCGCGTTATTTATTGCGTTCGTTTGTTTAATCTTCTTAATTCAAGCACTCATGCAATATTCANGTGCCATCCATCGCCCACTCGTCCGTAATTATCGCTCAGCAAAGTACAACAATTTCATGGCCATAATGCAACTCAGCTAGACACAAAACCGTTAAAATCACAAAGAAATGATGAAATTTGCTGGAAAGGATTAATCTGTTTGGATGTCTCATATTATAATCAATCCAGCATAGGAACCCATAAAAGGATTTCATTTTGACGCTGTGTTTGTCAGCTAATATGCAAAAGTGCTCAAATAAAAATCGAGTGTTCGCAGATTCATTCCACATTGTGCAAAGCGTGGATGTACTCATACACATTCAAATGAATGCTCCTCTGGTGCAGAGTACTTAACACCAACACAACGACGCACCAGAGAAATTCATCATCTTCGCAAGCAGCTCAAGTTTGTTTTGCTCTTTTGCATCATTCCAATCCATCATCCGCTCAACGAGTTGGTGGAGCGATTTTTCAGAGAAGCATTCGCTATGTGACATCAAACGGAGGACGATATTGATTTTAATCAGTTGAGTGGTAAAGCAGAACACCATCTTACACTTTTGGTGATATAATTATTTTGACACAATTTTTATGAACTCTCTTACGTCAGTGCTTAACATCGTTCTTGAATTTAAATTGGTGCTTCTAATTTCATTGCATTGGCGTTTTCCATCTAACATTCTTGAATGAAAATCATATTCGGTGGTGGTGCAGATTTTCCATTTATTGTTGCTTTGGTCACGATAATTCGACCATTGTTTTGAAAAAACCAAGAAACTTATTGATAACAAGAATACGGTTTAATTAAAGTTTAACTTCTAAAATTTTGAATGGTTATTGGAAGTATTCCGTAACAGATTATTGCGTCTCTGTCCAGAAATTTTGCGCAGATCC